TAAAGTCTTTGTATGCAGAATCACAGTCCTTCATCTATAAAAAAAAGTTTAATTTTGGAATCTGTGTTCATCTTAACTGAAAGCCTCACGCATCACGAACCTGTCAGTCAGTCAGTCTGTCAGCACGTCATCTTGAAGTGTTAAACAAATGGCGCACTGCCCTACTACAATAACAGAAAGGTTTGCTCTGTTATAATTCTCGTACCTTTTAATGCGTTTTTATGCGATTATAACCCGCATTAAAAACAAAAACAACAACAATGAATGAATGTTTTGAATAAATAAGAAGCTGTAATGTAGCCGTGACGGGATGAAATTTGGTGTGGCGCCCCGCCATGGAAGAATGAATGTAGCGGAAACCATGGTATTACAGTAATGTATTACTTTTTCATGTAGCGCAGTAGTGTAAGGCATTACTAATACATTTTCAGTAATATTTTACTTTGTGCATGTTCAGTAACGCGTGCGTTACAACAAACTTTTTGCCTTCAAGACATTACCAAATAAAAAATACCCCAGTTCTATTTCCTGTTCGTGGTTAGTGAACATACGCGTGTGTTGTCATTAATCTCCCTCTGGATATTTAAACTTTTTTACTTTAAACGCGGAGTGATTTCAGCCTCTGAGCTCGAGGTCTGGGGCTATTGGTTCAGCCCGGTTCACAGTAACATTAAGCTCTGATGCGCAGCGGAATAGTGGCAAATAGATGAAAATGGCAGAAGACAGTACGTTCGTGAGATGGTCGTACGTGCATATAGCGTTACTTCACTGACCAATGTCATAAGCGCAGTTTTACAAGTCAAGAGTGCATTCATGTAATACGAGCGATCAAATCTTTTTGCTCACTCGCCGCTTTCCTCTGTTCGTGGAAAAAAACTGCTCGACCGCAAAATTTCTTGCAGTCGCACGCACTCAAAACACTGCTCACATGCGAATGATCTGCTCTCGCTCCGTCAGATGATGCAGACTCACAATTTGTGCCTCATGTTTCCTCTTCCTTTCGTGCTTTTGCTCTCCAGAGATCCTCCTGTTAAATTGGTTTAATAATATTGGTTTTAATATTGGTTATCCCAAGAATGTTGATTTGGTTTATATATTGCCACACTATTTATTAACAATACACAAAACACTAAAATATTATGGTAAATTCTATAATAAATGCAATGTTTTTGAGTGTTAGGTATACTGCCTATGTTTTAGGCTAGTATTATTTACAAGTTGCTAATAATGAATGCTTCAGTATACTGTAGTATTAAGAATAGTGAACTGATAAAATGAAATACAGAGTGTAGTTTTACTACAGTAAAGTGTATTGAATTGTAGTATAATAAACCCTATATAGTAAAAAAAGAACTACAGCACTGGGTAATTTGTTTATATTACACTTGTGTTACTATAGCAACTATAGTATTACCACAACAGATTAACTGAAGTACTGTACTGTAGTACTGTTCAAAACGCTGTACATGACAGGGAAAATGTCATCCACAATCTCATCAACAATGTCGAGGAAAACAGAGACTAGTTCACTTTATTTTAGTTGACATAATAAAATGAGATTGATAGTGAGATTTATTTGAAGAGTGAGTAGTACAGTAGGCTGTTATACTTGATCAAGTTTTTCCCTATTTTCTATTAGTTACATTTCTGCTTGCGTTAGTTATATTTTTGTTTAAATGTTTTTTATTTGATTAGTGTGGTGCACCTTTTGGATGATTAATAAATATTTTTAAAATAAAACATATTATTTACATTCAATGTCTTTTCTCTGTGTCTTTAGGTGTTTGAAACTGGAAATATCTCATCATATAACATACAGCCAAAATGTTATTTTTATGTTTCTTAGACAATAAAAATGTAAAATGTAAGTCTATTTTAGTATTTTTGTTATTGTTAATAATATACCAATGCACCAATATAAATCATATAAAAAAGCACGAAAGAAAGAAGGAACACAAGACACACATTGTGAGTCTGCATATAATGTCACTGAGCGAGCAGTGTACTGAGGGTGCACAAGAAAATTTGTGCATGAGCAGTGCATATTTGAGAGAGCAGGAGAAAATTTTCACGAGAGCAGCGTATACGTGAGAGCTCGCAAGCAGTTCTGTCCACAAACAGAGGAAATCAGTCACGAGCATTATATTGAGAAAGCTGTTCATCATGCTCACTTTGTGCATGACAGTTTTGTGTTGTGAACCTGAATTTAAAGTGAATAGAACAACAGGAAAAGAAATCTGCATCTTGTCATGGCATTGGAGTTTACAAGTAGGCCTGTTGTGTCTAGAATATAGCCAAGCTATTCACAGATATTGCCAGATAATCACTTTACCTCTACCATACTTTTAACAGACTTAGATCATTTGTGACTCTGGCTCTTATCCTATCTTGTATTGTCTTAAACCTTCACGTTGCCGATTACATAATATTGTTAATAGCCTGGAGAGGTCACAGTCATTCTGCTACTGTACATCATATGGGTTTCTACTGGATGTAAAATGCTCTGCAGTACATTTGGCCATTAAGTTCTAATTCTTTAGTTATTTTGGTGAAAGTAACTAGGTAATATAAGTGTCATGTAACATATTACAATTCTGAGAATATTTCAAGGTAAGGGATTACTTTTCAATAGCAGTAACAAGTAATCTGTATTGTATTACAGTTTGAAGGTAACTTGCACAACACAGTGTATAATGATGGTTTGTTCTGTAGATTATCAAAAAAATATATAGCCTAAAGGTGCTAATAATACTGACCTTAAAATGGTTTTTAATACAAATTAAACACTGCTTTTATTCTAGCCAAAATAAAACAAATAAGACTTTCTCTAGAGGAAAAAATATTTTCAGACATACTGTGAAAAATTTCTCCCTCTATTAAACATCATTTGGGAAACATTTAATAAAGAACAAAAATTAAGGGGGGAGTGGGGGAGGGGGGGGGGGGGTAATAATTCTTCAATGCTCCCCCCTTTTTGATAGTTGAATAAAATGAGCTCTGCACAGAGGCATTACTTTATTTTCTTCCTGATCAAAGATGGATCTGCAAATCTCACTTTTTCTTCTGCTCGCATTTGTCACCTCAGGTACAGTACAAAGACAAATAATGTTTCTAATGTTATTAATTATAAATACAGATCACTGATGTCTCTGTTTCATCACTGAAGGATGCTCTCTCAGCTGTTATCAGTGTAAAGGAGCGTCTTGTGCAGGTCAGACAGAATCAACATGTTTAATTGAAGCTTCCAACTGTCAGAGTACAACAATGGTAACACAAATTGGTAAGTGCAATATTGTGGATGAATTTTTACTGTTGTATTTGATTGATGGAGGTGCTGGTGTTATTTACTGCTGCTGCAGTGGAAATGTAAGTTCTCATAGAACTACTGTGTGTGCTCCAGGATGAATTTATTATTTCAGTTACAAAATATTAAAAATACGCACAGCAAAAAATATCAGTAAATTATTTCTGTATGTTTATTTATGCTTTTGAATTGCATTATGGTACCTTGATCTCTCTCTCTAATAACTTCTGATGTGTAAAAAAGGACTTTTATTGATATTTTTAATAGTTTGAGCCTGAGGTTATATACTGTTTGAGTTGGTGTTGTAAGAAGAAATGATAAGGCGGTTTATTCAGCATAGCAGTACATGGCAGTTCTTTGGGAACATTCTAAACTCAAACCTTTCATACTGTTTACATTTTCTAAACGATCCCCCTCTTTCAGCAGGTTTCCACAAGTTTCACAAAGTCATTGCACCATCAAAAAATTCAATTTGTCCTCGGGGGAATAGCAGTGCTATTTGAAATTTTTTACTATGGAGTATTTCGTCAGATCCAGTCATCTGAAAGAGTATACATGAGTCACCATGACAGCACGCGTCTGTAGAGAGTGTGCCCAGCTAATGCTGAAACGTCTGAGAGAGTTCGACAGGAAAAAAGTGGTTCCCCCTGAAATCCTTACAGAGACTACCACGCCACTCCATATGAGACCACTTCAGCACTGCCTTACGATCGAGTTCCCAGACGTGCATGGCACGCGGGCACACACGCGGGTGACTGTCACTGCACTGTGTCACTGTGCAATCAGCCTTTGAAACGACCCCTCGTTCTTACAGGCCGGAGTGCCTCTAGGACCGGTGTCCAGATATATTGTCATTTCAACAGATGCTTCCAGCACGGGCTGGGGGTCCATGTGTTGCGGGCATGCAGCTTTGAGTCTGTGGAGAGGAACCAAGTTGCATTGGCATTTCAATCGCCTAGAGCTGTTGGCAGTGTTTCTCACTCTCCACTGTTTTTCACCGGTACATGAGCGGCAACACGTGTTGGTTAGGACAGACAGCACGGTGGCAGTAGTGTATATCAACCATATGGGGGGGTATCCTCTCTTGCCGCATGTCTCAGCTTGCTTGTGGTCTGCTTCTCTGGAGTCATACACTAAAATCGATGCATGCTATTCATAGTCCGGGTAAGCTCAACTGTGCAGCCGACACGCTTTCATGACAGCCTTTATGTAGAAGTGAAATAGCGGCTCGTGTGCTGTTTTCCCTCTCTGTAGTAAGAGCGTCATTTACTTGCCCTCCTCTCCTTCGCTGTAGAATTCTGCTGCCACATCGCACATAGGAGATAAATGATGTCAGTACGCAATTTGATTATTACTAAACCGATTTCAATTATTTTGACACTCCTAGTAACGAGTAACGATGCAGCACATAAAAATATCTATTGGAGTAAAAGTAGTAAACTCATCGAAAATATGTACTGAAGTAAAGTGGACAACAACAATACTCCAGTAGAGTACAGATACAGCCTTTTAGTACTTAAATACAGTAGTGAAGTAGTTCTACTTTGTTACAATACATCTCTGCTGCCAAATAAATGACTTACATTTCTGACTCCAGAAATACATCAAGGGTCTGTTAAACTTTATTTTCTCATAACCCACCCTTCTTTTAAAATTTTTGAAGACCCTCCCCTTCTTACAAGCTAGCTTATATAACCTGAAGTGAGACACACACGTTATTTCATTCAGTGCTTCATGCAAGATGGATCTGCAAGTGTCAGTTTTTCTTCTTTTTGTCGCCTTTACTTCAGGTAAGTCTCAGTGTTTGTAATGTTACTGACTACTGAACACAAACACAGATCACTGATGTCTCTCTCTCTCTGCTTCATCACTACAGGACACTCTCTCAACTGTTACCAGTGTGGCAAAGTGATGGGTGTATGTATATTTCCATCAGAAAAAACCTGTCCCAGTGGAATGTCTATGTGTGAGAGTGTCACATTGGTCAGCAACCTTGGTAAGTCCAATATTATAAACTGAACTTTACTGCTGAATTTGACTGATGCAGATTGTGGTATTGTTTTCTGCTGCTGCAGTGGAAATGAAACTTCTTGTGTGTATTTTAGGAGGAATATATAATAGTGCAGTTATAAATCATCAGAAACAGTTTCCCAGCATTTATTTCATTTCCACCAGACAATTAATGCTAACAATACAAGTATTACTTGTATTATTTCTCGCCTTAGCCTTACATTTCCACCCACCTATTTTAATGCTCATTTTGGATATGTGCATACAAACGATTGATAGAAACATCAAGATGCACATAACTTTTTAAAATATGCATAAAAAACACGCGCATAACTGAGTAGGATAATCGTTTATTCGATTGAAAAGATGCACATAAACTACGATGGAAACACTTTTACCTAACAAAGTGAAGCTTATGTATAAACAAATTTCGAGAGGATCAGATGCTTATGATTTCTAGCGGCTGGATCCGCATTATTAATTAATTTGACTGATGCAGATTGTGGTATTATTTTCTGCTGCTGCTGTAGAAATGAAACTTCTCGTCTGTGTTTTAGGAGGAATATATAATATTGCAGTTACAAATCATTAGAAACAGTTTCCCAGCATTTATTTCATTTCTACCAGACAATTAATGCTAACAATACAAGTAGTATTTTAAAAATGCTAAATGTTTTAAAACAATTCCTGCAGTTCTGTTGATCATAAATGGATCATTCATGTTTTTTAGGTCTTAAAATGAAGGGTAAAGATTGTTCTGCTGATTGTGCAAGTGGGACCATAAACTTTGGTGATACACAGATGTCTTCGACATGCTGTAACAGTGACAAGTGCAACAAAGAAGATCCTCCAGGTATTATACTATGCTGAGTATATCCTATTTTTTCAGTAATTCAACACTATTTACACTGTAAAATTAATTGTGCCTGTCGGCAGCATTTCTGATTTTACATTACAAGCTTCAGTATAGTATGGTATATTAATCTAATGTATCTATGAATTCTAAAATGTGCATTTAAATAATTTTGTCCATTATTACAGGGTTTTTGCAGGTTTCACCAAGTCAAATTTATGACTTTTTTTCAAGACCATGAAAAGTGTCATTTCAGACTTACAGTACATGGGGGGGGGGGTGTGGGGGGGGTAAATACTGAGAATTTTTTGACCGATCAAAAAACTAATTGTAGTTAGTTTTTTTTAGCCACATATTTAAAAAAAAAACATGTAAAAACAAGCAGACGCTAGTTGTATACATACCAGGGGCGTCGCTAGACCCCATTTCCTGGGGCACGTGCCCCAGTAAAAACCGCCAGTGGCCAAGTAAATGGTTTGAGATACGATTTACTTTAAATGCAAGTGTATTTATTAAGAGTGGAAATCCCAAAATAAAGACGTTATTCTCGATGTGCAACCGAACTAACGTCGATGAAAGCAATGTAGTTTTATCAAAAAGCAAACTGAGCATGTGCGCAGAAAAAAAAAACATACAAAAAAACATGCCTCACGCACACTGCTCCTGCTTGACACTGCTCTGCTCCCAGTCCGGTTGTAAACATGCACGCCGAAAAAATAGCCGCTCCATTGACACGCAGTGTTTTTTCAAGTCAACAAAACAAAGTTTAAGTGAAGTTTCACAAACTAATTTCAAGAGGAGCGCGTGATATGATCAACTACAGCTGATCCTCATTACTAATCATTAGCTAGCCTATCAGATCATTCTTAGGCCCCATTTACACTAGTGCATTTAAATTTTAAAAACGGCGTTTTAGATCAAAAACGATCCGCGTCCACTAGCGTTTCAAAACATATCACTGTCCACACTGAGGCACCAAAAACGTATATCACGAGATCATTCGCGCACTCTGGGCATGCACGTTCTAGTATAAACAGGAAGCATGTGTCTCGCTCTGCTTTTGGTTATTGTTAGTCAACAAACGCCGGTTGAACATTAAACCCGATGGCAAAGAAAGCAAGCGAGGTATTTTTGTGGACAGACGACGATGACGAGTTGTTACTAAACGTAACAAATGAATAACTGCAGAATGGCGCCTAAAACAGACAATAGTGCAAACAACGCTCCCATTTCTGTGTCCGTGTTGTTGTTTACAGTGAAGGCTGGTCTGGGGCCTGTTTCAGAGAGTATTTTAACCCTGAAATGAGCGAAACTCTGGGTTTTTGCGTTTCAAAATGGCAGGTTTGTTAAACTGGAGAAAGCAGGGTAAGTCAAGCCTGTTTCTAAAAGAGAGGTAACTTTAACTCAGAGTCAGTTACTGTGGTAACTTACTCTGTGAACCTAACCTGGTCAGGAGCAGGTTTTATTCTCTAAACTCTGAGTTTCTGTCGGTCTCCTCCCCTGTTTTAAAGACGAAGCGGTATTTCTCGCCTACGCCTTACATTTCCACCCACCTATTTTAATGCTCATTTTGGATACGTGCATAAAAACGATTGATGGAAACATCATGATGCACATAACTTTTTAAAATATGCATAAAAACACGCGCATAACTGAGTAGGTTAATCGTTTATTCGATAGAAAAGATGCGCATAAACTACAATGGAAACACTTTTACTGAACAAATTACAGTATGTACATTAAAAAAGGTCATGATCATATGATGATGAAAATGTGTGTAAATGGACAAGCCAGTAGGCTGAGCACACGGCAACACATCTTAAATGTTGTTTTAGTCATTCTAAAATGCCTGAACTGTTTCAGTATTAGTGTATATTATTAATTACCTCCGAGCATCTGGAGCGTGTCAAGAGTCTCTGCGTCTCATGGCTTCAAACGCCCCCACGTGTTCATTGTGTGTCAGCTTTGGCTTCTGACATCGAGGCGCAAGTACATTAATTAGATAAAGAAATAATTGACGCAGCTTCTTCTACCACAGTAAATTCTGTTTTTACTGTTGATATTTGGTGCCAGTTTAATCAGGAAGGGACGATTTTGTTCTCTTTGACTCGTTGGATGGAAATGCTGCTTTATTCGCATCTTTTATGCGTTATTCCAGTTTTGCACATAAATTTATGTAATATATTTGGATGGAAACATAGATATTGCCTACCTTTTAGTCACACACAGAACAGTACGAGAATGGCTTGTCCTTTTAAATAAATAATTAGCTTGAATTCACTGACCTTCAACATGCACTGTTACTAGATTAATGGGATTATTATTCTGTCTACCTTCTAAATGTTATATCACCCTCTATCACTTGATCAATAAAAAGGCAGACACAAGTCTACTGTTAAATCAATTAAAACTGATAAACGTGTATAAAAGTTTAGAAAAAAAGTATAAACGTCACACATTTCATTACTTATTTTATTATACTTAAATATTTAAATACTTAAAATGTAAAATTACGCATTAACTTGAGCAGCTTTTTTTCCCAGGCTAACTGTCTCTGTTTCCCTGATGGTTGCTTTTTTTTTTCAAATATATACGCTCATATTTGCTATTACTTTGCATGAGCAGATCAAGTTCAGCTGAAGAAAGAAATGGTTATCTCTTTTATAAGATATTGCCATAGTCACTCGTAATGTCTGTGCTCCATTGCTAATGCCTTTTTATAGTCGCGGCGTGCGCGCTTAACTCTGAATTGGTTTACTCAAAGTTGATTGACCCAACTCAGATCAGCTGTTCTGAAACCAAAAACTCTGAGTTTTTAATCTCTCGGTAAATCAACTCAGAGTTCAAGTTTAAACTTAGAGTTGGTTGAACCTCCTTACTGAAACAGGCCCCTGCTGTCCTCCGGTAGAGTTAAAGCCATGTATTATAGTCATGTGATAGAGGCTTGACGAACAAGGGAAGGATACGCAATGACACAAAAGCCCCAATCAGGTATCGAATCTCAGCAGCCCGCCTCCGTTTTCAGATGTCTCCGTTTTCCTCATCCACACTGAGACGGAGCAGCAGTGTTTTAGAATGAAAACGGCTAATCCAGTGTTTCCAAAACACTCCGTTTTCGGCGCTTGAAAACTTTGGCGTATTGTGGAGGGATGGGGTAACTGTAGCAAAACTTATGCGTTTTTTAAACTGAAACGTATTAGTGTAAACGGGGCCTAAAACTACTATAAATATCCTGCCTAATCTTTATTCCTTATCTTTGTTTTTGGAAGATAAGGAATGAAGAGGGCCACAGGTTCAAGTTATAATTGAGCCAGTCGGCACTCCCTGCGTGGAGTTTGCATGTTCTCCCTGTGTTTGCGTGGGTTTTCGCCGGGTCCACCAGTTTCCTCCCACAGTCTAAAAACATGTACATAAGTGAATCATAATACAGTCACAAGCACTTTAACGCATACATAGCAAAAGGGGGCACTCGAGAAACACCTGATCTCATATCCCTCCTAACGCTCATTAACCAGACGGGAACCTTTTTTTTTTTTTTGGAGAGGGTGCTGTGCCCAATAGAGCTTTATGTCTAGCAACGCCTCTGATACATACTATACTTGTTCCATATAACTATAAAAAAACTTGTAAAAAACTTTAATAAACTAAACGTATGCACAACACTATGCTATAATGTTTAAAATGTATGACATTGCAAGACTTTTTCATACCCCACAGACCCCTATTAATATTAATCTTAATATTGGTATTATAACACTCAGTTATCAAAGTGCGAGCTCATCAATGATGGTGTCAGAACAAGCAGGAGCAGGTGTGTGTTTAGTAACATCTGAATAGAGAATGTGGCTTTTATTAAAGCATTAGTCTATAAAATGCACAGTCAAAAGCAAAACTGATCCATGACTAGGCCCACACAGAATCTGTGCGTGCAGAATTCTGCAGATTTTTAGCTCATCATTAATTCTGTTTATTTACTTGAGTAAATGTGAGAAAATCTGTATTTATTCAGTTTTTAAATTATTTACAGTAATATTATTGACTAATATGAAAATCTGATGAATGTACAATGCAGTTTGTACAGTAATATTTTCTGTTTTTTATTAGAAATATTATATACGAGACTTGCCTTGTATACCAAATAAAGTGAATCTAATTGGATTTGCATTTTAAACGTTAAATAAAAGTTAAAAAGATATAATTTCTTATTTCATATATTAAGGTTTTAGTTATGATACTCCAAAAATAATTCCACAGAAATCTGGAGATTTTTACCAAAGTTTTAAGCAGAAATAGTAAAACCTATTTCATTGTGAATGGGGTATATCAGTCTGGATCCGGACCCTGAGGGTATTTAATTTGGATCATACGTAAAGGATTCAAATTGTTGTGAGTTTCCTTCATTGATAAATGCATAAACCATGTAAATGAACAGTTTAGTTGTTTGTATTTTTGTGAAAAAAATTAATAAATAAATATTTAAAAAAAGAATACGGGCTGAAATCAAATTGAAGGCAAAATATTTAGTTTTTCTCCGTGACTGTTGCCATGATATCCAGTGATCATATGAGGCTTCACGTGAGCGTGCATTAACCCACTGCAGCAAATCGGTCACTTGAATGAATGAAGATGTCGATCTCATAAAAAAGAAACTTAATGAGGAGAATCGACAGTTTAAAATTGGATTGTCAGATAAGTATGCGATTATTTTGCCACAAGCCAGCACAAAACCATTTTGACTGATTTGTAATGAGACAACTGGAGTTGTAAAGAGAGTGGAAATGTAAAACGCCACTATGAAACAAAACATTTTGAACGGCAGTATCCACAAAATACACATTTTCATTACACACCTTTGAATTTTTCACCTTCTGGATGCAAACCTGGTGCAGTTGCAATCTGAGCTACAATGCTTTTGAATGCCCACACCTAGTCCAACCCCTCACAGTGACGTCACTAGCTCCCTTGAGTGCATTGTGTCTGACATTACATCTCTCAGACATGTAATCTCAGCTTGTACAAAAAATGCACTGCTATTAGTGATTTTGCCACATTTGCATCATATCTAATGTGTTTTTAATGTAAATGCTACTTTTTTTTTAAAGAAAAATAATAGTGTTGACTTATGATGCATGATACGAATGTTTATTAAAAACAAGTTATGTTATATAAACTTTTCCGAACCTTTGACCTTCATAAAAATTCAGATTTTGACCTTTTAATGTAGACATTGAGAACCCCTGGTGTATTTGCACACAGACTTTTGATTTTCTGTCAGCCAGCCCATGCTTCTGGTGAACTGTCTTTCCATTACAAAATCATCACTTTTAAGATCTGATTTCTTTCAAAATCAGTGATTTTCATTGTCTGATAGATATACAATATAAAGTGTGTCTCAGACTGGACAAGAAGCACTGCATTAAATTAAATTTCCCCCACTATATCTTTTAAAATATGGAGCAATACCTCAGTATTTTCAATGGAGTTTTTGCGCTAACCTGCTGCTATTGACGGTGCTTGTGTTTACACAGTCTTTCATCTCATTTTACGCTTGAACAACTAAATGAAAGCTTAAGTCTTTGGAGATTTTAATTACATTACTTGATCAATGCTGTAAAAATAAAGTATGAAATAGAAAATAGTCATATTAACCTTTCACTGGAAGTTTATAGTTGGCTGAAAAGCACTAGCTGTGCATATGGGCCATTGACTAAATGCAGCAGCTAAAGTAAATAAAGGAATACCTTTTGTTTTCCTGCTTTAGATCACAGCACTGGCACTCCTAATGGAAAGATGTGTTACTACTGCAAGGAGAACAGTTGCTTATATTCTCTGAGCTGCTCAGGGACAGAAGATCACTGCGTTACAGCAACAGGTGAGAATCTGGAAACAAAAAAAAAAATTATGTGTATTTCTCTCATGTTTAAGATTTGATACAGATCACAAGAATCCAGTTTAATTCAGCTTTTTCCCCCCAGCAAATTTCTCAAGCCAGCCAGAGATTTTAAAAGGATGTGCATCGAAATCTTTCTGTGATGCCAAAGGAACGGGTCCATTTAAGAGCTTCTCCTGTTGTTCAGGGAATCTGTGTAACGGAGCTAAAAGTAACACTCAGAGCTTTGTGATTCTCTGTCTTCCTCTGATCGCCTTCCTCCTGATGCTCTGAATAAACAATCTTCTACAGCCTGTTTTATACACAACAGTATGACTTGCATTGTCTCTGGAGCTGTACTGTATGTGATATTTTTGCTGTGACATTCTGATGTAATGTTTTATAAAATAAAGTATTAGGTTTGTCCTGTGGGCATATAATAAACATTTTAATAAACAATTATGTGTGCTTACTTTAAAATATCATGTGATCCAGGACAAGCACTGATTAAGATTCACAAGCTCTTGATTTTTGTTTTAATACAGTATTCTCTATTTTAAACAAAAAAGCTGCAGTTATAAAGGTCATTTTTAGTAGTATGTAGGGGTTATTTATTAACCTGAAGAATGACCAGTCTGGAAGGTCATTTTCAAAAACCCATAATAAGGGGCTCTTTAAGCCACCACTTTCCTTCTATATGACAATCAGTCAGGAATGGGGCTTGCAGGGTGGATCTTGATTTGATCAAGTGTGAGAAGCTAAAAGAATTTCAAATCATTAAATAATGTTTTTTTTTCCATCTGTAAATCCCAGAACTATAGAATATATAGTTTTATGATTTTCTTTAGTGCAGCCATCCTAACTAAGTAAACTAAAATTAAATAAAAAAACTGCAGTGTAGAGTGAAAGATAAGCAGGCTTGTCCTCTCTAAGGACAAATATACATAAACAAAAATATATACATATATTGTGTTTCTAAAGTGTTTTTAAATGACATATTCACCAGTAAAATACATTGCAGTTTTGTCTGAAACTAATGTTACGGTTGTAGCTGTAAAGGTTGCGGGCGTCAGTGTCAACGCTTCCCATTCGCTTTGAATGGGTGGCGTCAGGCTTTGCCGAACTGCATTGTGGATCCGTCGGCACTGCTTCAGAGGCGTTGCTTGCTGCAGAAGTTAGGACTTGCTCAAATTTTCAAGCGCTGATGGAAGCTTCAACCAATCGGATCGCTGTATGCAAATACACCTGCTAGACAGTGGCCTATTGCTGACTGAATTTCATTGGCTGACGCTTCTATGAAGATCGCTTCAGCCCCAACTTCAGACACGCCTTCAGTCAAGTCTGCCATCGTTCTGGTAGAAACAAGATTGATTATTTCCGTGACTGCATCGCCTTGCAAAGAGAATCATTCCTACAACACGCGGTGCAAGCGCATTCACTGCAGATTTGGAGCGAGGCGGAGATGGCGTGGAGATATAAAGAGCGGGAGAGATAGCGCTTTTTCCTTTGATCTCGTTTTTGGTGTATTTTGATGACATGATTATGATTTTAGGTGTTTTTGCTTAACTTTCGTTTGGGTAAAATTATTTTGCATTACTTTTTCCCACTTTGAGAAATTTTGTGAGTTTTGTTCATCTTTATTTAGATTGATTTGTATGTTATTTTTTGGCTCAGCTCTTTTCCGACAATATTGAGCTTTATCTCCTCAAGTTCACTCTTTTCTCAAAGGTGGATAGGGAAGATGTCATACAACTTCCACTTTGCAAACACGTAGAAACTGTATTGTTAAAGACATCAGGTAAGAGGTGAACGTCATTGTTTATTTTATTCAGTATAGGAAAGAATGCGGCGCACTGCGCTGAAGGACTTTTTTTCTTTTTATCAGTTTTTAGCGAGGTAAGGGGCTATTTATGAATTAGAAATGTTTTGTTATATTTCTTTCTTTTGTTTGGCTTCACTATCGTCCCCTTACTCGAAGTTTAACAAATTTTAGTTTGATACTTTGTTTAAATTTGCCACTTTATTATATTATTTTTATTAGTGTAAATGTTTAACTTTTTGTATATATTTGGGCATTATTCTGGTCTTACTTTTGTACATTAAATCATTTTAGTTTTCTATTCTGTTGTCAGTCTTTTGCTTACACCAGTGATGGGCAAACTCGGTCCTGGAGGGCCGGTGTCCTACACAGTTTAGCTCCAACTCTAATCAAACACACCTGCTTATAGGTTTCTAGGGATCTTGAAGACACTGATTGGCATGTTCAGGTGTGTTTGACTAGTGTTGGAACAAAACTCTGCAGGGACTCCGGCCCTCGAGGATTAAGTTTGCCCATCCCTGGCTAACACCCTTACATTGTGAAATTACCATAATAATTCTTATGAGTAAGTTTCGTAAAAGTTACGACTGATAGGCGTGTGCTTTTTGTACGATACAAATTCTATTCCTGTATTCCACTGGAAAACCACAATTTCATGTCATCTCAGCAATACAGGACACTGAAGTGAAGAATGGAAACCAATAAAGGACTGATTTTTCATGATTTTCTCCTAGTATACATTGTACCTTAAACTGAGGTCTAACTGGTCCCCCTCTAGACTGTTAAACCCCCTAAACACTGACCTATTTTCAGAACTTCCTGTTTGTTGAGGTTTAGTACTAGTTTATTGCTGGTCTAGCTGTTGATCAGAAAAAAGATGCAGTTTACTAGTTTCTGATCAACTCTTCAACATAACATAGAATTAAACAGGGCTGTTACTGGTTAAAAACATTGCCAGTTTGTTGAATAGTCAAAAGTTATCATTGAAAATAACTTTGTGTCAACCTCTGCTGTTTTCATTTACTCCTATAACAGGTATCTATACAGCCTTTTTTTTTTTTTTTGGTAAATTTGTCTTTATCTGTCTTGCAAATTCCTTTACTTAAATTATCTTGATATATTATTTTGCAGTATTTTTGTTAAACTTATATTTTCTCATCTACACACACACATTCCTTAACTGATCACTAACCAGTCGCTTTTTTAGTCCAGTACAGGCCAAAGATGATGGGACACTGGGCTGTTCTGGTCCAAAAAAAAAAAAAAAGTTTCCACCAATCCACAAGTTTTGTACCTACCTCATTTTCTCCTTTTCTTAATCCTCAAATCCTCTAAAAAAAAAAAACAATAGAGGAATTCTTCTAAGCCTAGCGCTGTAAAATGTATGATGGCCAAACTTATGTCTACGCTTCTGCAGACAATGGACACGTCTCGCCCCTGAGACTACCCCCACACACATTTGTGCTCTTTACTGTATTCTGGAATAAGGGTTTTGCTACACCCCATTTACTAGGGCACGGGCTGCAGTAATAATAGCCAGTGCCCCAGTAAATGCTTTGAGATATAATTTAAGTTCTTTGCAAATGTATTTATCAAGAGTGGTAATCTCAGAGTAAAGCAGGTCGAACACCAGAAGCCAGATCCAAGAACACCAGAACACCAGATCCAAGACCAGCGACGTGATGATCCCAAGGATTCTATATCCGGGACCAGGCCATATCCTGAGCTGCTGCTGCGCTGATGGTCGTGGGGAGTGGAGAACATGAGTCTGATTCCAGCGACGCTCCAGGGACAGACGAGTCTTCACTGAGGCCATCTTCCAGCCTAAACCACGGCGAATTTAGTTCTGCACAAGACTTTTGGCCAGCGGAGAAATTTAAATGGTCGTGCCCAACTGAGTCTGGTTCTCTCAAGGTTTTTTTTCTTCACTCCCAACAGGTGAAGTTTTTTTTTCCCTCTCCGCTGTCGCCACTGCCTCGCATGGTTCAGGATTGGTAGAGCTACGCATCGATGAATTGGCTCTTCAGTGTTTGAACTCTCAGTAATGAATAAATCACACTGAACTGAGCTAAACTGAACTGAACTGAACTTAAACACTAAAACCTGAACCACACTGTTCCAGTTACTGTGACCATTTATGTGAAGCTGCTTTGACACAATCTACATGGTAAAAGCGCTATACAAATAAAGCTGAATTGAATTGAATTGAAGCACAGCTCGGCGCCGCACCACACAGCGCAATGCATTTTAGAATTCTATACATAGGTTTCCATCAGGGTACACACATCGGCACCGCAAGTTGGCGGCTGTCGGCTCCCAGCCACGGCTCAGGACGCAGTACATATTTCAGCCGCGCCACAGAGCACCATCTGATTAGCTTCATGTTAAATATCATGTGAATGTGCATGTCTGGTGTGCGATACTTTAAACTGTCATGTGCGCGTCGTGGCGCCGTGCAGCGCTTCTGGTGTGTGACTTGCTTAAAGACGTTATTCTCTATGTGCAACTGAACAAAATCTGATGAAAGCAATGTGGTTTACAGTTTTTTACAATGTTGACAGTTTTATTTTCAATACATTTAACAAGTTTGCTAAACTCTTAAGGCAGCAACACACCTAAAACACAATTGGCAAAACGGTCAATTTCATGCTCAAAATCACATGTCCGTACATGTTCGTACATGTTTGGACCACTAAGTCCGCTGCTTGTGCGTTGGGAAGGACAATGTCCACATTAGTGGTTCAGGAGCGCCACCTCCGGCTAAACCTGGCGGATGTGCACAGAGTTGACAAAGTTTGCTTTCTTGATTCCTCCATATCCCAGGCTGGCCTGTTTGGCGACACTGTCAGTGAATTCACCCAAGAATTCAAGGTGGTGAGAGAGCAGTCTGATGCGATGGGTAATGTCATCTTTACCTCCGGCGAAGCGGGCGTGTCGAGCACCTCGAAAGCAGGCAGGCCCCCCTGACCAGTGCACCGTTTAATCAGGTAAGGCACCGCGAAGCGTACCTGAGACAGGTCATCTGGAGAAGAGGGAATTTGCTCTTTCCCCACTGGAGGTCCGGGCTCCATTTCCATTGGCACATTTCACTGCCACGCAAACATCAATGCAAGAGCACTTTTCCACTTCCCCGGATGTGACAGCCCGAACTCTGCCAGTCTGGGACGCTATGCCTTCTAGCTCACAGGTTCTGTGCATTTTGCCAGTGGCTCACAGGTGCTGGGAGGACGGTCTCCTTTCTCCCACCCCTCGAGCCCCCTCTCCAGAGTCCATTAACGAGAGCTCTGCCTACCTGGTTAGCGCGGGCCAGCCCTTCGCGGTGGCTCATACACACAATCAGACTCAGCTAAGCGATTCAATTCGCAAAACGGCCCCCAAGTTTACAGATGTGTATTACACCAGGGTCAGCCCCCTGTCCGCCCCTGTCTTGCGAGAGGAGATTGCTGTCCTACTGGCGAAGGATGCAATCGAGCCGGTCCCTCCTGCCGAGATGGGTTTTACAGCCCGTACTTCATCGTGTCTAAAAAGAGTCCTAGATCTGCGTGTTTTGAACCACAGTCTGCACAAGCTGCTGTTTAGAATGCTCACGCAGAAGCGCATCCTCCTGTGCGTTCGTCTTCAGGATTGGTTTTGTAG